AAAAATGTATAACTTCTCGAAAACCTAACAGTATTATCCAAATAATGAAAAGAATTGTTGAAGATGTGAGAATAATAATAGTATTGGTCGAATGCCGCAATTTAAAATACCAGAATTGTTTTCATTCGAATTCACCGATGCACCGTTATCATTATGTGATAAAGACGCTAACCGAATTAATACGACAAATTTTTATTTACTGAATTCCGTTTAAGATTGTACGTACAACGGCAAAAAGTGAAAATTCTATATTTGTGCTCTTGTGCTTCGCTGACTAATAATGTAAAACGTCAACAGGAGCGTATTTGCAGCTTATATGCTTTGTATCTAAAACGAGTCTATGGCTGTTATTATTTGGATACATTAGTCTTTTTTTCGGTTTCTGACGGAAAAACGTTTTTGGACAAAGTTTTTTCCTAGTGGCAGAAGTATCTTTTAGTTCTAACAGATCTGGCTGATTCTGTAGCTCTTTTAAAGACTTGGTATAAATATAAAAAGATGAAAAATCCTAACTGAACAGATCGTCAAAAGTCTCTGTTAGTTCAAAGATATGGACTCATTTTTTCAGTTTCGGCAAATTTTCTTCTTTTATACAGTTACTAGTACAATTATTTCCGACGGTCATTCTGAGTTTTACAACTAACACTAAATCTGTATTTCACATATCCGGAGACCTTTCTATAATAATACGGATTATTCAACTTAAATCACCAGAATTTATCTATATCTGCCTGAGCTGGAATCAATTTTTTGTGGAGAGCAAAAACTCTCGTTGTGTACATTTTTTGTAAAGAGTTTTATTTGTATGTTTCTTCAACCGGTTAGCATTGAAAACCGGACTATACAGCCAATAAATACACACACGCACACAGACTTAGCATAGTCGATAACCTATGCTTACATGGATTCCTGAAAGTCCTAAACCTGATGATACATCGCCCGAACCATGCTAAATCAAAGTTTTGCTTAGTTCTTATTTGCAGAGGACACTTCGGTACATGGAAAAAAATTAGTAGATTCCTACGTTAGATCCAAGTTGGTTTTCGAGAGATCTCCCGAAAAAACTAGACTTCGAATTTTTTTCAAAACCGGTGTTTACTTGTGGAAAGATAGCTTCAGGTGTCTTCTTTTGATTAGTGATTAGTGAAAACTGCAGGCTTCTATCTTGCATTCCGTTTGAGTTATTCAAAAGTGGCAACACGCCTTGTATTTTGGCGCCGATAGTAGTAAAATTATTAGAGTTACAAGTAGATACGTTAAACGTAAATTTATTGGTTATTAAAGTATCTATGTGTAAGTCTAATAATCTATCTATTTCGTATCAGCCAATTCTAAGTTTCACAAGATCCAGTAAAAGTTGATTTTTAACTGAAATATCCTATTTTAGGCTGTTTCCATCTAACATTAGAAAATTCATCTGATCGACCTTCGGAAGATATACCATTCTATATTATGCACATGGTTGTGGGATAAACAAAGCAAGAAAAAACATTTTTTCTTTCAAACTTTTCTGAAAATCTTGCTGGGCAATCAAATATTTCCTTTGAACTGTTTTTCATCTTAGATCATACAAAGAGTAGTCCGAAGAAATATCTTGAGAAGTTTCGAGGTCGATCCGATCAGTTTTGGTGGAGATATGAATTTTTTAATGTTGGCTGGAAATGGCCTAAAAGGGGTTATTTTAGTTAAAATCAACTTTTATTATACTTGGGGATTTTTTCGAAGAAATAAATACTGCCACGAGATTCATATGGTCGATAGCCTATGTTTTCAACTGTTTTGAGGATGCCCAATCTAAAGACCACTAAAACATATATTTGTAGTGTAACATGGTATGAAGAAGTCTACAGAATCGACAAAAATTACTGATAACCGATGGTTTGAAATGAAACTTCAATCCGCAAAATCTCGAACTTTTTAAAAATTTTCATTAATTCTATTCTTTTTCTTTCCAAAAATGAAAAACGAGTCATTGAGTTCAGTTGTATGAGCTCCTTCGAATGACGTTCCAGGTCAACTGTCATGCCACATTCGCGAAGCGCTCGCTATGAACTCCCATCACTCGCGGCGTGATCGCTGTAAAGTCACGCTCTCGCGACAGGATCTTAAGGACGTCTCAATTTACTGAACTTTTTTTTCTCGGAGCCACGTCGCGATTTAACTATCACGGCGTGAACACTATGTCGCTGTGCGACTGCTAAAATGTCGCGACGTGAGTCCCATTTCTACGAATTACAAGCGATTGAATTTGCTTGTGCGGGGCGCGAGTCTTGCGTTTCTGAAATTTCATCATTTCTTTGCAAATAATGTCGTTTGCTTGTAAAGTATAAGTGTTTCAAAGCTTCAGTTTTCGATTTTATCACATTTCTAATTTACAAAAAAAGTCAAATAGCTTTAACTAAAATTTCTCGATTAATGGCGCTCTGAGATAAGTCAGAGGAAGAAGAAAAAATCAAACAACAAAAATGGCGGAGGAAAGAGAACAAAAGAAAGAGAAGAAAAAAGAAATTGCATCATTCTCATTCCGTCAGCGTTCCTTCTTTTCTTAAGAGAGCTGCTCAGCTCATTAACAGTTTTCTAGCATTTTTTGAGAGGTTAAGGTTGCGCTACTCATGCTTTTTTCTTCACTTCGCATCCTGGGAAGTTTTAAGAGTTCGTGTTGCTAAATTCTACGAAATTGCAAATAGACGTTTTTCATTTTAGACATTCTGTTCGGGCATCGAGAGCAGTGTTTTTAATAGGATTTTGTAGCACAGTGCACCGTATGCTAAAAAGAATTTTTACAAAGTGCACTACAGCAAAAACTACCGAAAACAAAGCGTAAAGTGTGCACTTTGCTTCCGCTTGGTGTACTAACCATGAGAAACCGTGTTCGGCACGCTGGTTTTCCGTTTGTTCAATGTGTTATTTCGTCTTAATAACTTTTTTTCTTTTTTCGAGCTATCTTTTGTTTTTTATTTTGGTTTTAGAATCTTCTTTGCGGCTTATCAGGTTTCTGCCCTCAGGTCTTTCATCCCAGGCGGTATACGATCGCTTACACTGAAATACGTCAAAATACGACGTTCGTATACGTGTATGGCAACGATACCATGTAAACCATGAAATATAGTGAAGTCACGACAGTCGTTTATGATAAGTCAAATTTTTTTGAAAAAAAAAGAATGAGAGACAACGTATACAGTCGTATACGACTGTCGTAATTCATAGTATTTTACCGCTTACACGTTATCATATCTATACACGTAAACAACCGTCGTAAACGGGCGTAGATGGTCGTATTTCTTGGCTGAACAGAAATTTTTATACTACTTTGAATATCATACTACAGCATTATTTCAGCAGAAATAACACTAAAACTTTTGAAGAAAAACATTAAAGATGATTTATCTCGCAAACGAAGGGCTTTTTTGTGCGGTTAAGCGCGATTTTATGTTCAACAACGGATATTTTCTCCTTTTTTTTAAATAAATTGTATGTACATACGCTCAAATCACGCAATCAGCGTTTAAAAGTATTTATATTTAAGCGTAGCAGCTGCTAATAGTCTTGAAAAAGTATTTATATAATTTTTTAATACATCTTTTGTTTTAAAGTCAAGCACGTCGTAAGTGGATAACGCCAGCCCATGTATTCACTGTGAACAATAAATAATAGATAGATAATTATAATAATTTAATTTTTATTGTAATAATAATAGATAGATGCTTTCTTAGTTTTCGATTACTGATAACGTTAATCATGTAGAGAGTATTTTTATTATTCAAGCATAAATAACAAAATCACTGAGAAAATATGCAAGATGAAAGCTGCATATACCTATTTTATTGAATTTAAAGATAGAAACTATTGTGCTTTAGGTAGTAACAACTAAACAAGCAATAAGTAACGAAGAAATTCAAAGTTCTGCAGATGAATTTATATCAAGTGTACGAGATCTTTTAGCAAAGTATGATCCTGATTATGTAATTAATACAGATCAATCCGGTATTCAACTTGAGTTTCATTTAACTCGTACCCTTTCTTACAAAGGAGAACGGACTACTACCTTAACTGTTCGTTCGAAGAATGCGACCACGCATTCATTCACTGTGCAGCCATGTATCAGTCTTAGTGGCAAACTTGTCGGACCACTTTTCCTTTGTTTAAAGGAATCCACTGCAACTGAAAGAGAATCGTCAACATCATACTGGAAAAGTGTCTATTGAGTATAAGCAAGATTCGACAAAACGTGCTCAAAGTAAATATCGCCGGCGAGAAACATTGATTAAAAAGGTAAAGTAACTGTGCGCAGTGCTATAAACAAGCATCAGCTCATTTGTAATTTATGTATCATTTATAATTTTTAAGCGACATTTATATTTTTTGTTTTAAAACAAATTCGTGTATAATGTCAGTTAAAATCTGCGTTCGTTACTGCGCTAGTAGCGATACTTTACCTATGGTAAATGACCACATCACAGGTGAATAATCTCTTTAGATACAAGAATTTTCTGAAATTACCAGCATTGAAGCTACAGTGGTTTTTCGAGATTCGGAGAAATTATATGTCGATGGTCCTGATGATGACATGAATGCTAGTGTTGAAAATTTTTTAAAACGTTCAGAAAAGAAATCATCCTCTGTTCAATATGAAATAAGCGATTTGCGTTTAACAAATCAATGTTTACTGTGCGGCGAGGAGAAGAAGAACAAAGATGTCTTATGTTGCGCATTGCCAAAATGTGCAAAAGTTGTACATACAACTTGCTTAGGTATAGTTGATGTAAAAGCAAAAGCATTGGATTGCATAACTTGGAAGTGTCCCTCTCATACTTAGACACTATATTTGGTTATTTTTCCGTCATTGTCTGTCACTCATTCGTTTATTTTTGTTACTATGGTTTAAATCATATATGTTTTTTTTAACAATCAAGCTATTAATTTAGTAAAACGCGAGAAATGTGTAGCGTCTAGAATGGCAAACAGATGTGATTTACTGTTTTATTTGTCTAAATACTTTAATCTGCGACAACTCTTATTAGTCAGGTTAAAATTTTGAGTTGCGTATTCTTCTAAGTAAAGTCGTTGATTTGTTAGCCCTTGTTGGATGAATCCTAAATATTCTTTTGGTAAATGTTCATCGGACATAACAAACTCTTTCTTTTTTAGTACATTGCTTTTTCGCAATTTCATACGCCATTCGTCAATAACATTGCTTAAATTCGGTTTTTTTCTGGCTGATTCTGTTGTGAGACATATGTTCATATGTTTGAACGCAGTTGTACGAATCTAAACACAAACATGAGTTATCGGCAAAAAATAAAATAATAATGGAAGAAAATTAACTTGCTTTGTGAAGTTCATCAAAAGTTCTGTTAACCCTTATCCAGGTTTCATTATCTAGTAATCCATGTGGTGTTAGATGTTTAATTTTTTTATTAAAATTTTGTAATACAAAATCCAGGCCTTCACCTTGTTTGCTGTTACCACTTGTACTAAACGTATCATTCTGTTCGAAAAACTGAAGTAATTCTTTTGGCATTAAACATCTTAATATTTTATCATTTAACATAACAAACTGATATTTTGGATGGTTTTGAACAAAAAATAAAATTGATAATAAAAAACGACTGTCATTCAATAGTATTGAGTTATTATAACGGATCCTATTCTTAACGTGAAAATTGTGAATAACCACAAACATGTAAGTTGTGAAAAAAGGCGTATTGTGGATGTAGTTGTAGCACTTTGAACCCATTTTATAAACGTTTCATAAGTAATAGATTTTATTTTTGATTTGTCAGTAGTTACATATTCAAATATTAATTCCATAATGTTTCCGTACAACGCCGTAGCTAATTTGAAATGTTTTGTGATGATCAGCACAAGATAGTGCATACTTTTTCACTTTTTCCGATTTAAAATTGAGACAACTACTTAATTCGGCCCCAAAAATGTTCCAGATGAAATTCATGAATGATTTACAAGCATTCATTTCGATATGACCCAGTCCTGGTCGAAATATCAACGAATTAAATTCGGCATAGTGGAAACGATTCTTATTTATCATCGATTCTGGATGACCATTGTGATAATGTAAGGATAAATCAGAATACGATGAGTATCTCGCATTACAATCATAACAAACAAACGTTTCATTAAAAATCTTCCAAGTTAAACAATATGGACATGCATCAGCCGTAACACTCATCCATTTACGCGGTATACCATCGTTATTTGTAGAAGTCAAACATCGTTCTTTCAAATCACGTAAAATTGTTGTTATATTTTCGGTAGAGGATGGATTGAGGGTGTACGGTTCACCTATAGCAAGCAATCCAAGATCGTCATACATCAAAATTATACGATGATTTTGTAACTCTCTTGAAAAATGCGTCCGCACCTACGGGCTATTTAATGTCTCTAAAACAATTTCCCGTTTTTTCTTCTCGAGCTCAAGAACATTATTCAGATAAACATATTTGATTGAGCTTACCTATGATAACGAGACGTTTTTCACTAGGATGACACTGTGGGATATTTTGAAATGTATTTCCTAAACTAATGGTTGCGTGAATTGAACCTGGATTTGGCGGTGGTCTGTTAGTTATGGCTTTATCAATCAAAGTTATTTTACATTGTTGACATTTCCGTTTTTTGAAATGATGTTCAGTATGACAAGTTGTGCATATTTTCTTTTTGATAACTGAATCCTTATAATCGATTTTAGACTGTATGTAATCTTGTTGAAGATTGTTATCCAGTCGTTTTACCACAACGTCTATCATATGATCAACAAACGATTTTAAACATTTTTGTATTAACGGACATTGATCGAGTAATGCTTGCATTACGGGTTTTCC